CGAGACTGTCTCAAACAAAACATTTCTTCACAGTACTGGGACCTGTTTCAGACCAACAGTGATGATAGTGATCATCATTATAATGATAGAGAAGTTACCAGCTGATCTTCCAGGTACTGGGACCTGTTTCAGCCAAATGACACCAATAGGATTAATAGGATATAGACCTTCGATCCAGGTACTGGGACATCTTTTAGCCAAGTAATAATGATGACAACAATAATAATAGAACATAAACCTTTGACTCAAGTACCAGGACCTTTCTCAGCGAAATAATAATAAAATATAAGCTTTTGTTCCTTTAAAAAGGATACTGTTGGCCGGGCACAGTGGCTCACGCCTGAATTCCAGCCGTTTGGGAGGCTGAGGGGAGCGGATCACCTGAGGTCAGGACTTGGAGACCATCATGGCCAACACGGTGAAATCCCATCTCTACTAAAAATACAGAAAATCAGCCTGGCATGCTGGCACACCTGTACCCCCAGCTACTCGGGAGGCTGAGGCAGCAGGATCATTTGAACCCAGGAGGTACAGGTTGCAGTGAGCCAAGATCGCACCACTATACTCCAGCCTGGTGACAGAGCATGACTCCATCTCAAAAAAAAAAAAAAAAAAAAATTATAATAGAAACCTTCACTCCAGGTTCCAGAACCTTTCAGTCTAATAATAATAATAATAGAATGTCAATTTTGGGACCTCTTCCAGCCCAATAATAACAATGATAATAATAGAATATAAACCTTTGCTCAGGCACTGGGACCGCTTTCAGTCAGATAACAACAATAATGATAATGGAGTATCAGCCTTCGCCACAGGTCTCAGAACCTCTTTCAGACCAATAATGACAGCAGAGTATAAGGTTTTGTTGCAGGCGCCGGGACCTGTTCCAGGCTGATGATAATATTAATAGGAGCATGTGCATCGTCCTTACAGGTCCTGGGACCTCTTTCAGTGACAGCATAATAGGATGTCAGCTTTTGTTCCAGGAACGGGGACCTCTTTCAGCCTAGAAATAATAAAAATAACAATAATAATTACAATATAAACCTGTATTGCTGGTACTGGGGCCCCTTCCAGCCTAGTAGGGATAATAGTAATAATAACAGTGGAAGATCAATCTTCCAGGTTTCAGAGCCCGTTTCAGCCGCATCATAATAATAACAGAGGTTGGGCACTGTGGCTCATGCCTGTCATCCCAGCACTGTAAGAGGCTGAGGTGGGTGGACTACCTGAGGTCAGGAGTTTGAGACCAGCCTGGCCAACATGGTGAAGCCATGTCTCTACTAAAAATACAAAAAGAAGCCGGGTGTGGTGGCGGGCACCTGTAACCCCAGCTACTCGGGAGGCTGAGGCAGGAGAGTCTCTTGAACCCGAGAGGTGGAGGTTGCAGTGAGCAGAGATCACGCCACTGCACTCCAGCCTGGGTGACAGAGCAAGACTCTGTCTCAAAAAATAAAAAATAAAAATAATAGAATGTAAACTTTTGTTTAAGGTCCTGGGACCTCTTTCAGCCTCATTGCACAAATAATATTAATGGAGTGTCAAGCTTTTTCTCCTAAGTAGCAAAACCTGCTTCAGCCACATAAATAATAAGATGATGGTGTTGGCAATGTTGGAGGCTCTGGTATCTCTCTGGCCTGTCAGTCAGGTCGGAGTGACAAGGGAGCATTTTTGAGTGACACCGAGGCCTCTTGAGACCCTTTACCGTCTCTCTTGAGTGTGATCTAGGGGCTCCAGCCTAAGTCGGCCACAGAAGACGCAGCTTGGGGGCTCCGCGTTTTCTGGAAGTCCTGGTTGTGACATTCATTCTGCTGGCTTGCTACCTCAGAACATGCCAGGGTGCTGGCATTTGTCAGAGGAACCCCACCGTCGCACCCTGCTCCTGGGAAGCAGAGATGCCCAGCTCACCCGGCACTTGGTGGTTTCTCCCTAAAAAGCACAGGGCAGGTACTGTGGATGGAAAGCTGCAGGGCAGGCCTCGAGTGCCCTTGAAGATGGGGGGCTGTTCTAACACCTCCAGTTGTCATTTGGGGCAGAATGCACCTTCATAATATAATAGATGCTTTTCTCGTCTCCCAGCTGCCGGGGGCTCCAGCATACCTGGGCTTGTGGGCACATCACTCCACTCTCTGCCTGGCTGCCTCCTCTGTGTGTCTGAGTCATAAGACTCCTGTGTCTCCTTCTCAGGATATGTTCAGTTCCTTCTGGAGGCTCTAAAAGAGGCTCCTTCCTGCCTCTCCTAGCTCCTGGGGGCTCCAGCATCCCTGGGCTGTGGACACATCACTCCAGTCTCTGCCTCTGTCTCCATGTGGGCTTCTCCTGTGTGTCTGTCTCCTCTGCTGCCTCTTAGAAGGACACCTGTCCCTGCATTTAGGGCCCACCCGAACCCCAGATGATCTCCTGTCCAGATCCTTAACTAATTAGAGCCACAACATTTCTTACAATCAAGTAAGATCTCATTCCGGGTCCTGGGCTTTAGACTGTGGACAGATGTTCCTGTGGCCGCTATCCATGTTCAGTCCACCATGATTTTATCCAGTTCCTTCTGGAGGCTCTGGGGGAGGATCCTTCCCGCCTCTCGCAGCTCCTGGGCACTCCAGCATCCCCGGGCTTGTGGCCACAGCACTCCACTCTGCCTCCACCATGACCTCCGTGTCTCCTCTTCTGTTTTCTATCAGGGACATTGGTCACTGCATTTAGGACCACCCTAATTGAGCATCGTGTCATCTTAAGATCCTTGCCTTAATTGTTAATACATCTGCAAAGACCCTTTTCGCAAAGAGTCCCATTCACAAGCGCCAGGTGGATACAGGTTCTCTTTGGCGGCGGAGGACGCTCTTCAGCCTGCTGTGGTCACTACTGACATGTGCCTCCTTGTACTGGCTACATCCTGACACTGACAATGCCTGGCTGGAGGGTTTCGCTGTTTACCTCCTGAGCGCCGTATTGGAGATGTGCAGATACACTCACATCTTTTCACAAGGCCCAGCTGTCATTTTGGGCAACCCGGTCACACAGGTGGCCCCTGAGTGCCAGCTGGAAGGGCCTGGGTATGTGAGCATTCCCCGTCCACAGGAACCCTGGGGGCTGGCTTCTGGGCCACCTAAGCCGGTTTCTGCACACGATGGGCATTGTGAGGGGTTTCAGGGATTGAGAAATCCATACGCCTTCAGACTATGCTTACAGATCGAGGAGGACCCCCTGCTACAAACAAAGCCTGCCATGTTCCACACGGCTTCATTTTAAAACGTAAAGTTTGGAAGAGTGTGAAATGCCTCTGAGCCATAGGAAAGCCAGCTGCAGCCAGATGGAGGTCCTGTGTGGCCCCTTTAATGCAGTCAGTGAAGCTCAGGTGGCATTGCACAGAGATTCTTGCTGTGAGGGTTGGCCATGGGGGGTCTGCCTGGCTGCTGTGGACTCTCCTGTGTAGGCAGCATCCCTGAAAAAGATGTATGCAGCTTACTGGGCGCGGTGGCTCACGCCGGTAATCCCAGCACTTTGGGAGGCTGAGGTGGGCGGACCACCTGAGGTCTGGAGTTTGAGACAAGCCTGATCAACATGGAAAACCCCGTCTCTACTAAAAATACAAAATTAACCAGGCATTGTAGTGCATGCCTGTAATCCCAGCTACTCGGGAGGCTGAGGCAGGAGAATCGCTTGAACCCGGGGCAGGGGGGTGGAGTTGCAGTGAGCCAGGATCGCGCCACTGCATTCCAGCCTGGGCAACAATAGCGAGACTCCATCTCAAAAAAAAAAAAAAAAACTAGTAGGATCTATGCATCTTCACCACGGTGCGGGTGCTTGGCAAAGCTCTTACAACAGGAACAATAAGCCCCTGCAATGAAAAAGCCACCACCAGGCTGGGCACAGTGGCTCACTCCTGTAATCCCAGCACTTTGGGAGGCTGAGGTGGGGGGGGGATCACCTGAAGTCCGGAGTTCGAGACCAGCCTGACCAACATGGTGAACCCTCATCTCTACTAAAAATACAAAAACCCCCATCTCTACTGAAACTACAAAAACCCCGTCTCTACTAAAACTACAAAAATTAGCTGGGTGTGGTGGCGCATGCCTGTAGTCCCAGCTACTCGGGAGGTTGAGGCAGGAGAATTGCTTGAACCCGGGAGGCAGAGGTTGCAGTGAGCCAAGATTGCACAATTGCACTCCAGCCTCTGTGATAGAGCAAGACTCTGTCTAAAAAAAAGAAACTGCCAGCTACACCCCCGCAAAAAACGCCACGCTCACTCAGAAACCTTATTGTCCACACGTGCAGAATGGCTGCATCGGATTGATGTGGAAGAAAGAGCGTGTTCCTGTGCTAGCTTTCCTCCACCGCTTTGCGAAAGTCATTGCAAGGGGCTGAGACCCTTGCTGAGTGCATGACAAATTAGATTGTTTGCTGAGAGCACTGGCAAGGAAAACTGAGCAAGGCCCCCCCCTCCCCAAGCAGAAAGCTGCTCAGGGGAAAACTACTGAAATAGTAGACAGTACGTGTCTGTCACACACCCGTTACACTAGTTCTTAAGTGCGGGATGTGTGACCCTGCCTCCGTGGCTCCCTCATGGAGGATGCTTTCTAGCTTGTCTGTGATCAGTGGTGAGCAGTTACCAGCTGCCTACCTGGGTTATCTTGGTTCTGTGAGAAAACACAGGACACCTGCTGTTAATAATCATCACCTGTTCTGTGAGAATAAACACACGGGTCAGCATGTGCTCGAGACCCTCAGCCCGGAATGCTGTCGGCTCCTGAGGCTCTCAGCTCAGAAGGCTGTTGGCGCCCTGGATAGTCTCACTTTGCTGTTCTATCTGGGTGTCTGCTTCTTAATGCCATATCACCGCCGGGTGAGCTGGGCTTGGTAGCAGCAAGGAAGGTCGACCTGTTGGTCCCAGTGCCTTTTGCTTGAAAGCGGAGCTGCTGGGCGCCCCGGCTGTCACCCAGGCAGGGTTCCCGCGCATGGCTGGGCACCTTCTTAATGCTGTGTTTGTCTTGGCCCGTTCCCAGCAGGTCCCCACGAATGAGTGGCAGTCCGGGCGGCAGGCTCCGGCGGGCCGAGAAGCGATGGAGAATAATAAAGGGCTGGAGAGCACGCAGGCAGACCTGAAGCTGGTGGCGCACCCGCGCGCCAAGAGCAAGGTGTGGAAGTACTTTGGCTTTGACACCAATGCGGAGGGATGCATCCTGCAGTGGAAGAAGATCTACTGCCGCATCTGCATGGCCCAGATCGCCTACTCCGGGAACACCTCCAACCTGTCCTACCACCTGGAGAAGAACCACCCCGAGGAATTCTGCGAGTTCGTCAAGAGCAATACGGAGCAGATGCGCGAGGCCTTTGCCACTGCCTTCTCCAAGCTCAAGCCCGAGGCGTCCCAGCCGCCTGGGCCTGACGCACTGGCCGCCAAGGCCGCCCACGGCCACGACAGCAAGAAGCAGCAGGAGCTGACGGCTGCCGTGCTGGGCCTCATCTGTGAGGGGCTGTACCCAGCCTCCATTGTGGACGAGCCCACCTTCAAGGTGCTGCTCAAGACGGCCGACCCCCGCTACGAGCTCCCCAGCCGCAAGTACATCTCCACCAAGGCCATCCCTGAGAAGTACAGCGCCGTCCGCGAGGCGGTCCTCAAGGAGCTGGCCGAGGCCACCTGGTGCGGCATCTCCACGGACATGTGGAGGAGCGAGAACCAGAACCGCACCTACGTGACGCTGGGCGCCCACTTTCTGGGCGTGGGCACCCCCGGCTGCCTCTCCATGGGCTCGCGCTGCCTCAAGACATTCGAGGTGCCCGAGGAGAACACGGCGGAGAGCATCACGCGCGTGCTCTACGAGGTCTTCATCGAGTGGGGCATCGGCGCCAAGGTATTCGGCGCCACCACCGACTACGGCAAGGACATCGTGAAGGCCTGCTCGCTGCTGGACGTCGCGGTACACATGCCCTGCCTGGGCCAGGCCTTCCACACCGCCATCCAGCAGGCCTTCCGGCTCCCAAAGCTGGGCGCGCTGCTGGCGCGCTGCCGCAGGCTGGTGGAGTACTTCCAGCAGTCAGCCGTGGCCATGTACATGCTGTACGAGAAGCAGAAGCAGCAGAACGTGCCGCACTGCATGCTGGTCAGCAACCGCGTGTCCTGGTGGGGCAGCACGCTGGCCATGCTGCAGCGCCTCAAGGAGCAGCAGTTTGCCATCGCAGGCGTGCTGGTGGAGGACAGCAACAGCCACCACCTCATGCTGGAGGCAGGCGAGTGGGCCACCATCGACGCGCTGGTGCAGCTGCTGCAGCCCTTCAAGCAGGTGGCGGAGATGCTGTCGGCCTCCCGGTACCCGACCATCAGCATGGTCAAGCCGCTGCTACACATGCTCCGGAACACCACGCTCAGCATCAAGGATACGGACGCCAAGGAGCTCAGCATGGCCAAGGAGGTCATCGCCAAGGAGCTTGCCAAGACCTACCAGGAGGCCCCGGAGATCGACATGTTCCTCAACGTGGCCACCTTCCTGGACCCGCGCTACAAGCGGCTGCCCTTCCTCTCTGCCTTCGAGCGGCAGCAGGTGGAGAACCGCGTGCTGGAGGAGGCCAAGGGCCTGCTGGACAAGCTCAAGGACGGCGGCGGGGGCGGCTACCGCCCGGCAGAGAACAAGATCCTCCCGACTGCGGCCCCCGAGGAGCCGCCGGTGAAGAAGCTCATGCGCACGTCCACGCCGCCGCCCACCAGCGTCATCAACAGCATGCTGGCGGAGATCTTCTGCCAGACGGGCGGCGTGGAGGATCAGGAGGAGTGGCACGCGCAGGTGCTGGAGGAGCTCAGCAACTTCAAGTCGCAGAAGGTGCTGGGCCTCAACGAGGACCCTCTCAAGTGGTGGTCTGATCGCCTGGCCCTGTTCCCCCTGCTCCCCAAGGTGCTGCAGAAGTACTGGTGCGTGGCGGCCACGCGCGTGGCGCCTGAGCGTCTCTTTGGCTCCGCTGCCAATGTGGTCAGCGCCAAGAGGAACCGGCTGGCCCCCGCGCATGTGGACGAGCAGGTGTTTCTGTATGAGAACTCCCGTGGAGGGGCGGAGGCGGAGCCTGAGGACCAGGACGAGGGGGAGTGGGGCCTGGACCAGGAGCAGGTGTTCCCCCTGGGGGACGGCGTCAGTGGCGGCTTCTTTGGCATCAGGGACAGCAGCTTTCTGTAGCGACTAACCCTCTTGTCTTACGGTGACCCCCCCCACCCCCCCCGGGAGCCCACTGGATGCTTTGCTGTACATACCCATCCGGCTGGCTCGGTTTTGAACCTCAGAGACCATCCACCGTCTTTGACGCCTAGTTGGGAAGGCAGAAAAGGAAAGAGATGCCAGAAGTGAGAGAGGGCCGGGCGCAGTGGCTCACGGCTGTAATCCCAGCACTTCGGGAGGTCAAAGCGGGCGGATCACCTGAGGTCAGCAGTTCGAGACCAGAGAATCGCTTGAACCCGGGAGGCGAAGGTTGCGGTGAGCCGAGATCGCTCCACTACACTCCAGCATAGGCGACAAGAGCAAGACTCTTGTCTCAAGAAGAAAAAAACATGGGAGAGGTGGCTTCGCAATGGTTTCTGGGTCCCTCCCGACTTTGGCTTGGGAATTGCAGCGCTACCCCTGGCTTGCCGCAGAGCCTTGGAGGAGGGGTTCCTTCTCAGACACTCAAGGCCCCGCACACTACTTCCCTTTCAGCTCCTCCCTGCCAGGGTTTCTAAGAAATGTGGGAACATCCTGGGAGGCGTGGAAGGAGCCTTTCAGCACCATCATCCGAGGGGCCTTCTGCATCAGCGCGTTCATGTTTACATCCTCATGGAAGCCGGGGCCTCTCCCTTCTGAGAAACGGGGAGGAGACCTTTTAGCCAAAATGCCCTTCTTGAAAAGAGACCTTTTTTTAAGGTTCAGTTAAAGACGTCACAGATGATCACAAGAATGCCCTCACTTATCAGAAAGCAAACCACCAAAAAAAAATAGGTGTGGAACACCGTGTATGCTGCATGGTTGCTGGCAAACAGTCTGTTCCTTCTCTCTGCCAAAATTCACCTTGTGGAGTTGGTCCTTGAAAACTGGTCTGGCGTGGTGGCTCACGCTGAGGTCAGGAGTTCGAGACCAGCCTGGCCGACACCATGAAACCCCGTCTCTACTAAAAAATACAAAAATGAGCCGGGCGTGGTGGTGGGTGCCTGTCATCTCAGCTACTTGGGAGGCTGAGGCGGGAGAATCGTTTGAACCCGGGAGGCGGAGGTTGCATTGAACCGAGATTACGCCACTGCACTCCAGCCCCTGCGACACAGCGAGACTCCGTCTCAAAAAAAACAAAACAAAACTGTGTGGCCGATGGGTCCTGAGGTTGTATCTTGTGTGTCTCAGCCCTAAGAGTCCAGTCCCCCCGTGCAGCCAGGTTTTCCACACAGACGGGTGTTTCTGATTTCATTCCTGGAGAGGACTGTTGAATATTCCCCTTTAAACTCACTCCCATCGGGGAAGTGGATTTGGAAATACTGCCACCGCAGAGTTTCTCTGTGGCTGGAGTATTCTAAGTGGCTTTCACTTATTCAGGGACAGATAGACATTTTCCAAGACTGACAACTACTGTTTAACGGGGGTGTGTGGTGGTGGGGGATACTTCCATGGAGTGACCAGCCTGTTATGCCACGAAGCTTCGTGTGTCGCTTGGATTCCATGGGCCGTGGGTTCTCTGCCTCCGTGACGACAAGCTGGGGCTGGGGAGGTTGGGGTGTAGGAGGGATGACCCCAGTCAGCTCCAGCCCCTGTTCTGCTGAGACCCCAAGAGCCCTGGGCCTCAGACGGTGAAGCAGGAAGTTTCTGCGTGTTCACGCCTGGCGGCTTCTCAGGGCCACGGCATTGAATCCTGACGTCCTGTGCGGGTGTAAGTCTGCAGAAAGTTAAGTTCAGGGGAAACCCACGTAACCTGGCTTGCTGGTATGGGAAGCGGTTCCCCTGTGAACCTGCCGCCCTCTGCTCTGGGTATTCTCAGCAGAAGGGCACTGGAAGCCCACAGTGGGGCTGGCTTTTGGGTTTGGCTTCTGCTGTGCCCTGAAGCTGGACACAGTGGGCAGCCGCCGCCCCCGTGGCGGGGGGCTCTATTCTGTAGCATCACCAACCTTCCCTTCACGTTTTTCAAATCATTCGCTTCTCATCACTCACTGGAAGATGCGCGCTGCTCCGGCTCTGTCTTCATTTTCATTTTTAAGCCACTGTTCCCTCCTGACGGTCGCCTCTTATTTAATGCTTTAAACTTGGACTCTTGCTCAATACACCAGAGAAATAAATCGGCTCCTAATCTACCTGTCTGCCGCGGTCC